AAAAAAAAAAAAAAAAAAAATCATATTTTTTGCCAAATGAAAATGCTTGAAAAGATACATGCATTAACAAGTATCTGTTAAAAACCTTGCAGTGTATATTTTTAGTAAATTCCAATTGTGTTGTCAATTAGCAGGTGTTTACTACTTGTGTCTTATATATAAAGTATAATGATAATATGAGTATAGATCCACAGGTTCCTTGTTCAAAGTAAAGTTCTGAAACCTCAAGTAGGAAGTATTTGGTGGATGTAAAAACAAACCTAATGGGCTGGGAAGGTGGCTCAGTGGTAGAGGGCTTGTCTAACATGCATGAGGCCCTAGATTCAATTCCTCAGCACCACATAAACAGAAAAAGCCAGAAGTAGCACTGTGGTTCAAGTGGTAGAGCACTAGCCTTGAGCTGAAGAGCTGAAGGCCCAGAGTTCAAACTCCACAACCAACCAAAAAAAAAACCAAACTGTTAAACTTACGATTAACTAGACTACGAATACAAATTTCATGTGCAAATATCAAACTCAATATTATAATTGCATTACCATATAGATTTAAAATCATTTTATTCCTACAAAAATATTGCTGGGTTTGTTATCAGAGTTATATCAGACTATTTGTGGTAAATTGATACCTCTTGTATCACATCTTCAAAATATAAACAAGTTATTTAGATTATTTTTAAATAGAAAGTCCTCAGCATATTCTGTATATTATTATTTCAAAATTCATGGCTGTTTATCTATTACAGTTGTGTAGAAATAAAAATTATTTCTATGTTTTAAAATTAAAGTTAAATAGAAAATTTTTTAGACCAGATGAAAATGTAGAATTCAGTATGCAGTAGCTTTTTATGTATGCATTAGGGCTTTTTAATTTTTATTGTTTTTCCACAGAGATAGAATACAGTCTTCCTTAGAAGATGAAAATATGTTTGCAGTTACTGTAAGTTTTGTGTTAATATTTCCTTTATAGATGCTCAAAAACTAGACAGTTTTACTAGACAGTAAAACTTGGTATTTCACACTCCATCTTAAGTTTCTACATTTAAAAAATTTCACAAATACATAAAAGATACAAAATAATAAAACACTGATTTAGAGTACTAGAGAGATAGGTAACATCTTTTTATATCCCTCTGATTATTTATCATAACACTTTGACCTGTATCTTAACCATACATTTTTCCATATATCTACATATACATATACTCACAGTGTTCTATAAAATTCTCAGTGAATTTTTCCATGAATGGATTTTCTATTTTCTAATCAATTATTACTAGAATAAAGTTTTTTTTGTTTCTAATTTGCTAAGAGTTGGAATAAGTATTGAATGCAATGTTCTTTTTTAGTTTCTATGTATATCTTTTAATTTGCTAATGTAATGGCTTGTTATTTCAAATAGAATAAACTCATGTATTCCTAAATATACCACTAAATTTTATTAGCCAGTATGTTATTTAGGACTTTCGTAAGTATGTATGTATTTTCTTTGTTGTTGTTTTGTTATTTGTTTTAGTTTTGCTTTGTAATTTTTCCTCATGTAGTCTTAGTATCTAAGGTTGTACTGGCTCTGAAGAACAAGTTTAGAAATCTCCATCTTTTTTTGTATTTTGTTGAAGAATGTGAGATTTACTTGCCCTGTCAAGTCTTCATAAAAATATGCCCATAAAAACAATCAAAATCAGATAGGTGCCTTTGGGGGCTCATTTATTTATTTTTTGCTATTAAGTAGTTGTACAAATAGATTACAGTTCGCTAAGTCAGGTTATAAGTACAGTGTGTCTAGATGAATTTCCCCCTTTCTGTCATTCGCCCTCATTTTTCCCCTTTTATCTCTACCCTCAATTTTTATTTTTTTCTAATTTCAAAAGTAGTTCATGTTTAAAACAACAACATAGAGCCCAAAAAGGAAAAATAAATATTTCTATGTATTTTATTTAGCATATATTAGTTGTACAAGGAGGGTTTCATTGTGAAATTTGTACACATGTGAACTCCATCCAGATCAAACTTACCCCCTCTATCACTCTCCTCATTTCACTTCTTAAAACAACTTCAACAAGTTTCATTGTTCTATTTTCATACAAGAAAATAAGCTACAAAAACCTTATAAGGTATATTATAGTTTTGGGGGGTTCCCACTTAATTTGGTGTTTATTTTTTCTCTAAAACGTCATCTCTGGGGAAATAACATTTTTTAAAATAATTTTTTATTGAGATTAAGTGATTACAAAAATTTCACAAATTTCACAGTATTATGAAGGAGTGATACTTAAAGTCAAATACATTTTAACCTTTACAAGGCAAATTGTCATTATCATGGTCTATAATATTTGTGAATTCTATGAGCTTTGACAATACAGCTGTTTCTTCCACATCAGGTGATATGTACATTTTTTTTTCCTTTTGGTTAGTGTAAGCTGTTCCCTCTTTCCCTCTTATTCCCTCTGTCCCGTCACTGCCCTTGAGTTGCTTGGTTTGTTTTCATCAATGTCCAGTGCAGCTAATTGGCCCCTCTGTTGTATACTTTCCTGTTTCCCTCTGATTCAGTGTCTTCATCCTCCTAGCTTCCCTCAGATGTACACATAGAAATAGCAGTTTTTTTAATCCAAGTATAACAAATTGCCAGTTAATAATAATAAAATAAAATCAGAACAGTTTCAAATTATGGTAAAAGCTTGAGTTTTATTTTAAAATGTTTCCAAGGATAAATATACATATTTGCTATGTATTTATGCATAAATAAATACACTTCAAATTAGCTTTTCCCTTTCTGCTGAAATAACATTCTTGGGTCTTCTTTCCTTCTCTCCTTCCTTTAAATTTATAACAGGCTGTTAACGCCAGTGAGAAAACAGTTGTGGAAGCATTGTTTCAGAGAGATTCCCTTGTGCGACAAAGTCAGGTATTATTAAATGTTTTACTGTTTTGTAAGACACATGGAGAAAGGGTGAATAGCATAAAAGTACTGAAGACAATTTAATTTAAAACTTTTTCTGGGGACTGGGAAGGTGGCTCAGTGATAGAGCGCTTGCCTTGCATGCCCGAGGCCCTGGGTTCGATTCCTCAGCCACATAAACAAAAAGAAAAATGCTGGAAGTGGCGCTGTGGCTCAAGTGATAGAGCGCTAGCCTTGAGCTGAAGAGCTGAGGGACGGTGCCCAGGCCCAGAGTTCAGGCCCCACGGACTGGACCCAAAAAAAAAAAACTATTTCTGGAAGTGGCACTGTGGCTCAAGTGGTAGAGCAGTCACCTTGAGCTGAAGAGCTCAGGGACAGCTCCCAGGCCCAGAGTTCAAGCCCCATGACTACCAAAAAAAATATACATATATAATAAAACTTTTTCTGTCTAGCTGGTGTTTTCATTTGGAATCCTGTTGGGTTTGTTTTTTTTCTTTGCTTTTGTTTCGTTCTGTTATAAATAACGGTTCTAGTATTTCCAGGAATAATTTAACAACTGCATTATTTCTGTAGAAAATTTTATTCTTTTTCCATAATATTTACTTGTCTTAAAAAGTAAAAATAGTGGTTGGAAAAACTGTTACTTGCATTTTTGTAATCAAACGTGTGTGTGTGTGTGCAAGAACTGGGGCTTGAACTCTTTTTTGTTGGTGGTGGTGGTGGTCTTGGGGCTTGAACTCTGGGCCTGAGCGCTGTCCCTCAGCTCTTCAGCTCAAGGCGAGCGCTCTACCACTTGAACTACAGTGCCACTTCCGGTTTTCTGGTGGTTTATTGGAGATAAGAGTTTTTCAGACTTTCCTGCCCAGGCTGGCTTTGAACCGCAATCCTCAGATCTCAGCTTCCTGAGTAGCTAGGATTACAGGTGTGAGCCACCAGCGCCTGGCTGGGGCTTGAAGTCTTGCTTAGCTTTTTCACTTAATGCTGTCACTCTACCACTTGAGCCATACCTCCACTACCATACTTTTGCTGGTTAATTAGAGCTAAGAGTCTCCCAGATTTGTCTGCCTGGGTTGGCTTTGAACCATGATTCTCAGATTTCAATCTTCTGTGTAAAACACACATAGATTTTATAGTAATTCTAATCTTTTTCTTTTTTCCTAGCTGGTGGTGGATTGGTTGGAGAGTATTGCCAAAGATGAAATTGGAGATTTTTCTGATAATATTGAATTTTATGCAAAATCAGTATATTGGTATGTGACTAGCTTTTATTCTTCAATCCATTTAATATTTATTCATTTATTCAATATAATGCTCTTACTTTGTTCAGTTTTGAGCAAATGAAGCTCTACATTTTATTTATAATTATTTAGGAGAGATAAATAGCAAATAAATGTATCCTTCTGTAATTAAGAGCTTTGCAAAGAATATGAACTAGAATTAATGAGTAGAGGATGACAGTCCTATTTTTATTAGAAGCAATGGTCAGGAAGAGTGTGTAAAGTAACAAATAGAAGCATTTTTTGTTTGTTTGTTTTGTTTTGTTTTTGTCGGTCACGGGGCATGAACTCAGGGCCCAGGTGCTGTCCCTAAGCTCCTTCTCTCAAGGCTAGAGCTCTACCACTTCAAACCAGAGCTCTGTTTGCTATTTCCTGTTGGCTAATTGGAGATAAATGTCTCATGTACTTTCCTAACTAGGCTGGCTTTGAACTACAATCCTCAGATCTCAGTATCCTGAGTAGCTAGGATTACAGGCATGAGCCACCAGCACTGAACTTGTGTTTGGTTTGTTGTTCTTGTTGTTTTGGTTTTTGTTTATTGGTCGGTCGTGGTCATGGAGCTTGAACTCTGCTTGGGTGCTGTCCCTGAACTCTTCAGGTCAAGGCAAGCACTCTATACCACTTGAGCCACAGTGCCATTCCAGTTTTCTGGTGGTTTATTGGAGATAAGAGTCTCATGAACAGTGATCCTCAAAGCTCAGCCTCTTGAGTAGCTAGGATTACAGGTGTGAGCCACCGGCAACTGCTTGTGTTTGTTTTTGAGATAGGGAATCTTGAGAACTTTCCCTAGACTGTCCTCAAACTTAAGATCTTCCTTCCTTCATCTGTAGGAGGCTTTTAAGAAATAAAGGAGACCAGGTGCCAGTTGCTCATGCCTATAGTCCTAGCTACTCGGGAGGCAGTCCTAAATGTACACATAGAAAGAGAACTTTGTGCTGGGCACCGGTGGCTCACGCCTGTAATCCTATTTTTAGGAGGAGGCTGAGTTCTGAGGATCACTGTTCAAAGCCAGACTGGGCAAGAAAGTCCATGAGACTCTTATCTCCAATAAACCACCAGAAAACTGGAATGGCATTGTGGCTCAAGTGGTAGAGTGCTTGCCTTGAACTGAAGAGCTGAGGGACAGCGCTCAGGCCCATGACTGACGAAAAGGAAGGAAGGAAGGAGGGAAGGAAGGAAGGAGAAAGAAAGAAAGAAAAAGAAAGGAAGGAAGGAGAACTTTGTAACTCAAGGATAAGTAAATATTTCTTAGGAAATAACAATAACCATGGAAAAAATCAAAATCAAAAATCAAAATTGAAAAATCCTATGAAAAGACATCGTTAATAAAACAGTTGGAGCTAGCCACAGACTGATAGAAACATAGAGAACATATAGTTTATAAAGACCTACAGCTTCATAATAGAAAGATAGCCCAATTAAAAAAAAAAAGAGCAGGCTTAATAGGTGAATGAAAGAAATCATTTAAAAGACATGAGGGCTGGGAAGGTGGCTCAGTGGTAGAGTGCTTGCCTCTCATACATAAGGCCTGGGTTTGATTCCTCAGCACCACATAAGCAGAAAAGACTGGAAGTGGCGCTATGGCTTTACTGGTAGACGCTCACCTTGAGCTGAAGAGATGAGGGACATGCGCCATGACTTGCAAAAAAAAACAAAACATGAAAAAATCATTTAGCCTCATTAGGTAGGTACATTATGATGACTATATTAAAATTCTTTTTCATGCTTTTTTCCCCTATGTTTGTTGTGTTTAGCTTTTTCTGTTTTGTTTTTTGTTTGTTTGTTTTCTTTGGATAGGTCTATTTAAATTGCCCCTTTAAAAATTGGCATTTTTTCTTTCAGGGAAAATACTCTCCATACCTTAAAACAACGACAGCTGCCTTCTTATATAGGAAGTGTTCGTCCTCTTGTCACTGAATTAGTAAGTGTTCTTTGAAATGAAGTTTGGGTCTTTTTTTTTTTGGTCAGTTGTGGGGTTTGAACTCTGGGCCTAGACGCTGTCCCTCAGCTCTTCAGCTCAAGGCGAGCACTCTACCACTTGAGCCACAGCTCCATTTCCGGTTTTTTGCTGGTGGCTAGTTGGAGATAAGAGTCTCGTGCAAGGTGGAAGCCGGGTACCAGTGGCTCATGCCTATAATCCTAGCTACTCAGGAGGCTGAGATCTGAGGATCACTGTTCAAAGCCAGCCCATGCAGGAAAGTCCATGAGACTCTTATCTCCAATAATCCACTAGAAAACCAGAAGTGGTGCTGTAGCTCAAGCAGTAGAGCGCTCACCTTGAGCTGAAAAGCTAAGGGACAGGGCCCAGGCCCAGAGTTCAAGCCCCATGACTGGGGGAAAAAAAAGAGTCTCATGGACTTTCCTGCCTGGGCTGGCTTTGAACCATGATCCTCAAATCTCAGACTCCTGAGTAGCTAGGATTACAGGCGTGAGCCACCAGTGCCTGGCTAGCTTGGGTCTTTTGAACAATGTGTTTTTGTTTTTTGTGGTGCTGGGGGCTTCCCCAGGACTTTGTGTATGTTAGATAAACTCTACTTTTGAGCTACATCCTCAGGCCCCTTTATTACATTGTACTTGACATTTATCTCTCTTCCCATATGTTGTCAAAAAACACCTTCTAGATTTACAAAACAGATTCTTTTAGTTCTTTTTTCCATGTTCATCCACAATCTAGACCTAATTCCATTTAGGTGCTCTGACAGAGTAAACCTCATGACCTTTTGGAGTAGGCTACTGGTACCCTCACTTGACCTAATATGCCATTGTGGAGAAGACTTAATAAGAAGACTTATAAATGGGACAGCAGATAATTACATGACTATTTGGAATACATGTAACGCTTTCATTCCCTAGAGTTATCATGTCATAATTTTAAATATGCCTAAGAGTACAGATGGTGTAGCATAGTGTATTAGCATGCTTGTACTATTTCTTACATTTCACCAGTACTGCATAAACAAAAGATTTATAGTTAACAATGAGTTGGTTGTTTTGATTTTTTTCACAGGATCCTGATGCTCCCATTAGACAGAAAATGCCACTTGATGATCTGGACAGAGAAGATGAAGTTAGATTACTCAAATATCTTTTTACTTTAATCCGTGCTGGAATGACAGAAGAGGTGAATTATGCAGTACCTTGCTTGTCCCATTTCAAAAAGCCACAGACTCTTGAAGTTAGAAGACACCTTTGTGACCACATAATACGCTTCTTCAGTGCAGCAATTTTGTTCACAATGTCATCAGTGAATATGTGTAGTGATATACATGTTTAGAGAGCAATGCCATAACTTGCACAACACTGATTATTAGAAAATCCATAAGTCAAACTTTGCATACTCTCCATGCATCCTCATTATTTGTACGTGTGTGTGCGCGCGCGCGTGTGTGCGTGCGTGTGTCCGTGTGTGTGTGTCCGTGTGCGCGCACACGTGCGCGCGCACGCTAAGTCCTGGATCTTGAACTTTGAACTCAGGGCCTGGAGCCCATCCCTGAGCTTTTTTGTTAAAGCCTAGCATTCTACCACTTGAGCCATAGCTCCACTTCCAATTTTTTGGTTGTTAATTAGAAATAAGAGGCTCATGAGCTTTCCTGCTTGGGCTGGCTTTGAACTGTGATCCTCAGATCTCATTCTCCTGATTAGTTACAATTTCAGGCATGAGAATCGGCATCTGGCTTCTATTTTTTATTTTTAAGAGTTCACACTCAAATTTTCTTTATGGTCATATTGAACATAAGAAATTTGATCAGTAGACTAAGCAATCACTCCCATGTCATTATAAGGCCTTTTCGAAATACTGTTAAAATAAATCAAGGTTTATGAAGCCCATTTGTGTCTCATAAAATTAAATACCATTGGTTCTTATAGAACCTATGAGTAAACCCAAAATCAAAAAGGGGATTACTAAAAAAGTAAAAATAAAGTCAGAGACCACAGAAAGATAGCTTGGTAAAGTGCATTGCCATTGTTAATTGCCTACATCATTCTCTGTAACATTTGTGTCAAGTGAACTTGTTGAATATTGGCTATATATAATCACTGGTGATGTCACTAATGTTCTTTCTTCTGTCAAGGCTCAACGGCTTTGTAAGCGTTGTGGTCAGGCATGGAGAGCTGCAACACTAGAAGGCTGGAAACTCTATCATGACCCTAATGTTAATGGAGGTATGTAATAGACTTTATTCTCCATATTATAAAGGTAGTTAGCTCTAAATGCCATTCTTTGTGAACTGTAACTTTCCTTTTTTTAGAAGTGATTGAAATAAGATCTCGTTTTAAACCATAAATTCTTCACTGCTTTATAGGAACAGAGTTAGAAACTGTTGAAGGAAATCCATATAGACGCATTTGGAAAATTAGTTGTTGGAGAATGGCAGAAGAGGTAAGAAAAATTATTTATGAATACTGAATTTTTTTTTTCAGTTTTGGGCCTTGAACCCAGGGCCTGGGCACTGTCCCTGAGCTGCTTTTGCCCAAGGCTAGCATTCTACCCCTTGAGCAACAGCGCCACGTCTGGCTTTTTCTGTTTATGTGGTACTGAGGAATTGAACCCAGGGCTTCATGCATGCTAGGCAAGCACTAAGCCACATTCCCAGCCTCTAATACTGAATTTTTACCCCAACTTAATTGAAAAGCCAGCTGAGCAGCTGCGAAATGTTTGGTGTGACATGAAACTACAGTTAGTTTTCAAAGAAGTTCTTGGAAAATTGAGGAATAGGCTTGGCTGCTTACCAAGTTATTCAGACACCAAGTACTAAAGAATTAAACATTGAAATAAGGCAAAAATATGAAGGAGGTACCAAATGATTCTAGAGAAAAAGCATCAGGCTAAAGCTTGAAACCAACTTTCAAGGGAAAACATCTGTGTTGAACTTTTATAAGTCATTAGAATTTGGGATGTTAGGATGAAAATGTGACAGAGTTCTAGGTAAAATGAGTAAGTTGGGAAACTCTAGGAACAGTAGTTCTACAAGCTTAGAATAGAAGGCTCATAAAAGGAAATATAGTCAGTTATGTCAGAATACAGTATTTGCATTCCTAAAATTCACTACAACATGCAAAAGAAAACTATCAGGGTTTGTGAGAAAATGGAGTGCAGAAAACAAAAACGGTCACCAGTAATACATTAAAAGGTAAGTCAATAATGTTAGCATACTTTTATATCTGTCAAATAGTTGAGTAAATACATAAATGATAGTACATTAAGTTTAGCACTTCAACTTGAAAAAACCTGGAATTTACTTATTTTCAGAGTGTGACAGACCCTTGAAATGTTTCAAGAAGAGTAGCATGGCAGTGAACAATAGAGATGAAAGGACTAATGGCTGAGAAATTAATTATCAAAATGGCTGTAAACATTACACAACAATAAAGACCAAAGGCCTGGCCTTAGATAGTATTGATGAGGATGAGCAGGAGGGTTAGAACTAGGGCAAAGTAGGCTAGTTACGTGAGTCTCCTGAACTCTCTTGTTTGTATGACAAAAGCCTAGAAATGCCATTAACAGAACCCTAAAAGTTAAACAGAATATCTGCTGAATATAATTCTGCTTAGGAATCAGATGCAGCAAGCCTTGTTTTGATGTTGTTCCTAGGGCAGTTTGAGTGAAGTATCAGATGCTTAAAAACCTCCTAGGAGAAAACATCTGTACAAGTTCTACCTTGAATAAAATTGGATTATAAATGCACAAAACATCCATTGGATTTAGTTGTGGTTTCATCCTTTGTTTTAAATTTAAATGTTTGACTCTTCCATAGATTTTGTTACTTCATTAGACTAAGAGATCCTTCATATTACTCCAGTGTATCTTTCAATAAAATAGAAACTATCAAGGGACTAGGTTCAATCTGGAAGAAACTACACAATTCCAGCTTATGAAGAAATAATAATGGAAAATGGATGGGAAGGGAAGGAGAAGGGGAAACAAAGGAGGAGGCAACAATGCTTGATAAGAAATGTACTCATTACCTTGCCCAAATAATTGTAACCCCTCTGTACAGTATTTCACAATAAAATAAATAAAAATTAAAAAAATAAAACAAAGAAATAAGCATACTGAGATTAACCCATTATTTCATATATACTTACATTCATTTATTTCAGGAGCTATTTAATAGGTATGAAAGAGCAATTTATGCAGCTTTAAGCGGGAACCTGAAGCAGGTATGCAATCTTCATTTTTTTATAGAATAAAGTAGATATTTAAGTTTTAATGAATTATTAAATATTAAAAACCTACATCCTCTAGAAATAGCAAGCTAGAAATAATCATAAAATAGAAAAGTGACAAAATGCCTAGCTTGATGTATCCCATATTTGGCCAGTTTTGGTTTGGGAGGATTTTTAGGTTTTGATTACTTTGGTTTTGTTGTTTGTGTCTTGGAAAGTGGTGGAGTGGGCAGGGGTGAAGTAGGGTTTTGCAGGCTGGCCTCAAAACTCTCAGTCCTGCCTCGGACTCCCCAGTGCTACCATATCCAGCTTTGTATATTTTAATGAGTGAAATCAGACTTGGTTTTCTAATTTAAAACGTCAGTATAATTGTGATATCCATTTATTAATAATTCCTAATACTCAAACTATATCCATAGATGGACCAGTAAGACACAGTGATTGCCTGGGTAGTCATATGTATCTGTCTTTCTCAAGTTTCCATTGTCATCTACATTTTTTTTTTTTCTGTCTGTAGTAGGGCTTGAACTCTGCCTGGGCATTGTTCCTCAGCTCTTCGGCTCAAGGCGAGTGCTCTACTACTTGAGCCACAGCACCACTTCTGGTTTTCTGGTGGTTAATTGGATATAAGAATCTCACAGACTTTCCTGCCTGGGCTGGCTTTGAACTGTGATTCTCAAATATCAGCCTCATCAGTAGCTAGAATTACAGGCACGAGCCATTGGCACCTGGCTGCCCTCTACTTTTTATAACTATTTTGAGGAATACTATATTAATTGAAATATTCAAAATTGATGTTGTTGTAAATTCGATATGGAAAAGAAAAACTTAGTTCAAACTTCTTAGAGGCCTAGTTGGAGAATAAAAATGGAATATTCTAAAGTGGCTTTACAGTACATATGAATGGGTACAGTTGCTTTTCCTTTCCTTTTTGTTGAAAATGTCTGTCTTGTTTCTGTTGGGGAATGGGAATAGCTTCTTCCTGTCTGTGACACCTGGGAAGACACAGTCTGGGCATACTTCCGGGTGATGGTGGACAGTCTGGTGGAACAGGAGATCCGGACGTCAGTAATGACTCTGGAGGAAACTGAAGAACTTCCTAGGGAATATTTAGAAGCAAAGTGAGTGTGTTGGTCTGATTTTGGTTACAATGGTTTATAGTATACTCTTTGAGGTTTGTATTACCTCCCTTTCATATTATTGACATTATTCTCTCTCCTGGTTTTCTTTTTTGAAGTTGGACCTTAGAAAAAGTTTTTGAAGAACTTCAAGCTACAGATAAAACGGTAAATGTTAGCACCTGTGGAATATGAAATAAGTGATATTAACTTACTGTAAATGCTGTTACTGCTGTGTGGGATAGCTGAAAGGAAAAATGATAAGGAGTTTTGTTTCCAATTACTAACGTAAGAGAAATTCTTTAAAAGAAAAAATTATGTATATGAGCTGTGATTTGTTTTATTTAATCCAAAGGACTTTTGATTCAGTTAATCAGTTTATAATTAAGTAAAACAGTATTCATAAAAATTATTTAAATAAAGCAATGCTATATTATTTTTAACAATAAAAATCAAGCAAAGTTATATCTGTAAAACCTATGTAACTTCCCACCAAGTCCCTTGAAAGTTACTTGGCTAAGATGACAAAACATTCTGACATATTCTTTCATATTTTTCTACTTGATCTTTCAAATAAATATAAGTAATAGAACTATCTTAATGTAATTAGTATTCAGGGATTTTCTTATTTTTTGTATCACATTACAACCTGATTGTTTTCATTAATGATAATCTGTCTGACTTAGATGTTCTATATTAACATTCTTTTTAATAGATTAAGTAATGTAGTATACAGTAGAGTGTACTTTTTTTTTTGTCAGTTGTGGAGACTGAACTCTGGGCCTGGCCCTGTTCCTCAGTTCTTCAGCTCAAGGCTAGCTAGTGCTCTACCACTTGAGCCACAACAGCGTCACTTCTGGCTTTTTCTGCTTATGTGGTGCTAAGGAATTGAACCCAGGACCTCATGCATGTGAGGCAAGCACTCTACCACTGAGTCACCTTCCTAGCCCTGGAAAGAAAAATTTTAAAAGAACAATAGTTAGGGATACTTGCCTTAGTAAAGATGCCACAGACCATTATAGAATTGGTATGGAATAAATAGACAGTGGAATACAAAGTTCAAACTAGAACCAAGCATATATGAAAACCTAATAGATGTCAAAGGAAATAAAATTATTTAAGATAAATGATCCTACTGCAGATCACTTTCCATCTGGAAGAAAAACAGAGTCCTAACTAAATCTCAGACAGAAAACAGTTTTTTAATATAAGAATAATTACTGAAAATTGACTACTAAGTAGTCAATTTCATCTCTGATAACTTATTTTGTTTCAAAAGCTTATTTTGTTTCAGTAACATTTTGTGGAGATGGAGGTGTGACTCAAGTGGTAAAATGCCATCTTTGAGTGCACCAGCCTTAAGCTTAGAGTTCAAGCTTCAGGACAGGTTTTGTACTGGTATGGACCTTGAGCTCAAGGCCTGGGTGCTATCCCTGAGCTATTTTTGCTCAAAGCTAGTGCTCTACATCTTGAATAACCCCTTTACTCCCAGCTGTTTGGTGGTTAATTGAAGATGAGTCTCATGGACTTTCCTGCTCAAGCTGGCTTCAAACCATGATTCTAAGAGCTCAGTCTTGTGTGTGTAGTCTAGGATTGAGTCAGCAGCATGCATGCACGTACATGCGCGTGCGCACACACACAGCTACGTTTGGGGGTTTTTTTTGGTCAGTTGTAGGGCTTGGACACTGTCCCTGAATTCTTGCTCAAAGCTATCACTCTACCCCTTTGAGACACAGTTCCACGTCTGGTTTTTGAGTGGCTAATTAGAAATAGAGTCTCACAGGGACTTTTCTGCTCGCTGGCTTTGAACCATGATCTTCTTAGCCTCCTGAGTAGGATTACAGGCATTAGCCACCAGTGCCTGGCTTTAAAGTGTTGTTTTTTTTTTAATATAATAAATCAGATATTGCTTTGCTTTTCTGGTATGTCAAAGTAAACAAAAATAAAAAACTATAAAGAATTACATTGTTAAAGCCGGGTGTGGTGGCTCATGCCTGTAATCCTAGCTACTCAGGAGGCTGAGATCTGAGGGTCGTGGTTCAAAGCCAGCCCAGGCAGGAAAGTCCATTAGACTCCTATCTCCAATAAAACCACTAGAAAACTGGAAGTGGCGCTGTGGCTGAAACAGCAGAGTGCTCGCCTTGAGCTGAAGAGCGCAGGGACAGTGACCAAGCCCAGAGTTCAAGCCCCACAACCAACCAAAAAAAAAAGAATTATATTGTTTAATAACATTTCGTAGAGATTAAGTTGTTATAGTTTTCTACTTTCAAAGATACTGTTTGTAAGCCCATAAATATGCTTCAGAGGCTGTATCCTCACCTTGTTTGTGTTTCGTTTTGTTTTGGTCTTTCTGAGGCCATATATTTTCACCTTTCTATGTGTTCCTCCAGGAGTTTGACATTTTTAATGTAGCAATGAGAACATTCTAATATGGCTACTGAAAGATGATTTACTAAAAATATATTATTTTTCAGAGAGTTCTAGAAGAAAATCAAGAACATTATCATATAGTTCAGAAATACCTTATCCTGGGAGATATTGATGGTAAGATATTATTTTACCTTTCTCTGAGTTCTTTTTTTTCAGTTGGCTGTGGGGTTTGAAATCAGGGCCTGGGTGCTATCCTTGAACTTTTTTGCTTAAGGATAGCTCTGTACCAATTTGAGCCACAGTACTATTTCCAGTTTTCATGTGGCTAGTCCTCAGATCTCAGCCTCCTGAGTAGCTAGAGTTAGGGGCGTGAGCCACCAGCACCCAGCAAGTTCTTCATTTTTTTTAATAGTAATTTTTGTGAAAGTTATCCAAACAATACATATGACTCAATCTTTGTTTTAACGGAAGCCTCTCACTTGCTAGGCAGCTACTCTAACACTTGAGTCATTCTTTTTTATTTTAGTTATTTTTCAGAAAAGGTCTCTTGTTTTTGCCCATACCAGCTTAGAATTCTGTGCTCCCATTTAAATCTTCAGCATAGCTGGGGTTGCACACAAGAACACCTGGCTTGTTTATTGAGACGGAGTCTCTCCAACTTGCTTTCTAGGCTGGTCTCAACCTAAATCTTCCTAATCTCCTCCTCTTAAGTAGCTGAAGTTAGAGTTGTACATCCCTGTGGTAGGCCTAGCTACATCTTTTGATCTTGTCCTTGAATGCCACTGTTTGTTATTGTAAACTAAAGTCTGAATTTAACCCAGAGTGTTTAAGTGGAAGTAGAGAGCTGTGTGAGGGCTATTAACAATGAAATGAGACAGCGATTGTTAGCACTATGAAGGTGAAGTAAATGTCTAATTTTATTCTTTTTGTTGAATCTTTCCTTTGATGGCTTGTAGGTTTGATGGATGAGTTTAGCAAATGGCTTTCCAAAACCAGAAGCAATCTACCTGGACACCTCCTTCGCTTCATGACTCACCTCATTTTATTTTTCCGCACACTGGGACTGCAGACCAAAGTAAATAAAAACAGCTAGCTTGTCTTTCTCTGGTTGATGCTGTAGAGTTGTCTTCAGGGAAACACATCACTTTCTTCTGGTGATGATAAGGGTTCACGAGTCTCCTGGATAGACTCACATTCACCTGATCATGACTCACTGGCAGTGGCCCTGCAGGGATCCAATTTATAGCCACAGAATAACGTGGTTGCCTGATGAGTAGAGCTTTATTCTTATGAGTATCCAGCCTTAATTAAACCAAATTAACATCTGGGCTAAATTTCAAATCTTTCTTTTTTTTTTTTTTTGGTCAGTCGTGTTTTTTTGGTCAGTCGTGGTGGGGCCTGAACTCTGGGCCTGGGCTCTGTTCCTCAGCTCTTCAGCTCAAGGCTAGTGCTCTACCATTTGAGCCATGGCACAACTTCTGGCTTTTTATGTTTATGTGGTGCTAAGGAATCAAACCCAGGGCCTGAGGCATACAAGGCAAGCACTCTACCACTGAGCCACCTTCCCAGCCCCTCTTTTTTTTTTTTTCTCTTACATATCTGATAAGATTTTGGTAAAAGTATGAGTAAAAGCAGAATGATACACTAATTGAAAGCTTGAGCTTTGGAGTAAGAATCTTGAGTTTAAATTCTTACTCAGCAAGTTCTAGCTGTATAATTCTGGGCACATAAAACCTCCCAGGGTATTTGTTTTTCTTTAGTAAAATGTTAAAAGTTACAGTGACTACTCACAGAGTTAGGATAAGATAAAAACCAAGGCCTAAGTGCTGAGCTTGCCCAACACTTAGCTGGTATGTCATTGCTCAGTGTCAACCATTAACATTCATAGATAATTTAAAAGCAGAAATTTTATTAGATATTGTATTAATGACACATAAACATAGCTAAGTTTTTAATTGAACTATATCTTTTTTTTCCCAAAGGAAGAAGTTTCTATTGAAGTTTTAAAGACATATATACAGGTAAGCTTTAAGATTCTACAACTTGGCCTGGCACTGGTGGCTCACGCCTATAATACTAGCTACTCAGGAGACTGAGATCTGAGAATCTCGGTTCAAAGCCAGCCCGGGCAGGAAACTCCATGAAACTCTTGTTTTTGTGTTTTTATTTTATTTTATTTTTTTGGGTCCGGTTGTGGGGCCTGAACTCTGGGCCTGGGCGCTCAAGGCTAGCACTCTACCACTTGAGCCACAGCGCCACTTCCGGCTTTTTTGTTTTTGCTTATGTGGTGCTGAGGAATAGAACCCAGGGCCTCATGCATGCAAGGCAAGCGCTCTACCACTGAGCCATCTTCCCAGCCCTCCATGAAACTCTTATCTCCAATAAACCACCAGAAAACTGGAAGTGGCGCTGTAGCTCAAGTAGTAGAGCACTTGCCTTGAGCTGAAGAGCTTAGGCACAGCACTCAGGCCCAGAGTTCAAGCCCCACAACCGACAAAAAAAAAGAATTTACAACTTTAATTCTCTTTTTATATTTTAATTTTCAAAAACAGGAATGCTATAAAAACAAAAATCAGAATACTGGTAGGCACTGGTGGCTCATGCTGTAATCCTAGCTACTGACTCAGGAGGCTGAGGATCATGGTTCAAAGCCAGCCTTGGCAAGAAAGTCCGTGAGACTCTTTTATCTCAGATTAATCACCAAAAGGTCAAAAATTGAGCTGTGGCTGAAGTGGTACAGAGCTAGTCTTGAACACAAAAACTAAGGGACAGTGCCCAGGACCACACCACAAAACATAAACAAAAATCAGAATGCTAAATTTTAATACCCAATGACAGGAAAGTCATTAGCATTCATAAGAGATCTTTAGGTATGCTAACCGTACTTGTAGAATTTAAAATTGTTCTGATTACCAACATCCACATTGTTTGAATTTTTCTAAATATAATTTAAATTTTAAAGTAACTTTTTTAAAGCACTGCTGATCTTCAAACTTACTGTATACTTACTTTGATCTTTTCTATTTTTTCTTAGCTTTTAGTAAATGAAAAGCACACAAATCTAATAGCATTTTATACCTGCCATTTGCCTCAAGACCTTGCTGTTGCCCAGTACGCATTATTCTTGGAAGGTGTTACAGAGTATGAACAGCGCCACCATTGCCTGGAGCTGGCTAAGGAAGCAGGTAAAAGTGATGATGAACTTCCTCTGGTGGCCTTTTGTTTTTAGGTAGTGCATGTTAATTGTACAGAATAGTGGGTTTCAGTATATTTATACATGTGTATAGAACTTTAACCAGGGGTCAATGTCTATTTTGTCTCTGACGCTTGTCCTTTTAGTATTGAATCTTGAGAGTGGGGAAAAGAATAAAAATTTCAGTGAGGCTCTATATGGGCAATAAATAACTTACACTAACTCATATGCAAAGTATTTTTAGTTTTGGCATTTTCTGTTATAATGTCTTTCAGATTTTAGATACTGCATTTTTAAATAATTATTGTTCTGGGGATGGGAGTATAGCATAGCTCAATGAAAGAATGATCCCATAGCTGGGTTGGATCTCCAGCATTGTAAAAGCAAAAACAAAAAAAAGAATTTTTTACAAATCACCAAATTAATTCTATTTAGGGAATATTAGTATTAATCACTTTTTTTTAGCATTTCAAATTTTATTTTAGATTTGGATGTTGCAACAATAACGAAAACAGTAGTTGAGAATATTCGAAAGAAAGACAATGGTGAATTTAGTCATCATGACCTGGCCCCAGCCCTAGATACTGGCACTACTGAGGTAATTTCAGGGCACAGGGGGGAGGTGAAGGTGGGGGTAAAAGTGTTATGTAACTTTTTTTTTTTTTTTCTGATCCTGGGGCTTGGACTCAGGGCCTTAGGACCCTCTTTGTGCTCAAGGCTAGCACTCTACCACTTGAGCCATAACACTACTTCTAGCTTTTTTGAGTAGTTTATTGGAGATAAGAGTCTCATGGGGACTTTTCTGCCCAGGCTGGCTTCAAAATGTGATCCTCAGATCTCAGCCTCCTGAGGAGCTAGGATTACAGGTGTGAGCACAGGTGTGAGCCACCAGTGCCCTGCTGTATTATGTAACTTTTTAATAATCCTTCATTCCTTGATGCATTTCTACTTTAAAATATAGTTTTTTCTTAAACTTTTTCCCTCCTATCTCAGAAAGACTTTTTCTTTTTTTTGAATTATATTTTATTATTTTTAAGTAATTGTACAAAGGAAGTTACCATCCAACATATCACTTTATGAGCACAACACATCTTGATCAGTGTCACCCCTTTCATCATTCTCTCACATCCTTCCCACGCCTATCCATCAAGAATCTTTTGCTTAAAAAAAAGCCAGGAGCTGGTGGCTCACACCTGGATTCCTAGCTACTCAGGAGGTTGAGATCTGAGGATCGAGGTTCAAAGCCAGCCTGGACAAGAAAGTCTGTGAGGGGGCTAGGAAGGTGGCTCAGTGGTAGAGCACTTGCCTTGCATGCTCGAGGCCCTGGGTTCAATTCCTCAGCACCCCATAAGAAAAAAGCCAGAAGTGGCGCTGTGGCTCAAGTGGTAGAGTGCCAGCCTTGAGCTGAAGAGCTGAGAGACAGCGCCCAGGCCCAGAGTTCAGGCCCCACGACCGGACCCCAAAAAAAAAAAAGTCTGTGAGACTCTTATCTCTGACAGCGCCCAGGCCCAGAGTTCAGGCCCCACGACCGTAACACCCCCCAAAAAAAAGAAAGAAAAAAGAAAAAGCTAAGAGACAGTGCCAAGGACTGGCAGCAAAAAAAAAAAATCACATGGTTACAATGAGGGGAGGGCATGTGATATATAGTTCCAAATTCATAGACCTAGTGGGTTTTTCTATAATTTAGTCAAGAGCTATTAATAGGAAAATAAACTAAAAGTTAAATTATTTGATAATTCTATCAACTTGAATGAAAATGTTGTTCACTAGAAGTACAAATATAAGTACTACTGATTTATCAAACATGGAAAATAACAAAACTGATGTTTCTTTTATCTCCATAAATGGCTAGGAGGATCGGTTGAAAATTGATGTAATTGACTGGTTGGTATTTGACCCTGCACAGAGGGCTGAAGCACTGAAACAAGGCAATGCCATAATGAGAAAATTCTTAGGTATGCTCCAATTTTATATGCTTTGTTCAGGTCTATATGTTTTAATTTTTTCAAAATCTTGGTCTTCCTCCAGGGTGGAGAAAACCAGCTTCTCTTACATATCAAATATACCATTATTAAACAGTTTTAACAGTGAATTTTCCTCATTATTATCAATTTTGCATATGTCATAGATAACAGACTTTGAAACATGTAGTTGCTTGCTTTTTTTTTTTTTTTGGTGCTGGTCCTTGGACTTGAACTCAAAGCCTGGGCACTGTCCTTGAGCGTTTGGTCTTTTTGGTAGCAAATTGGAGATAAGAGGCACACACACTTTCCTGCTGTGGCTAGTTTTGAACTGCAAACCCCAGAGTAGCTAGGATTACAGACATGAGCCATACAGTGCCCAGCATACTTGCTTTGTTAAGACACAGAAGTACATGAAAGTCAAGTGATTTAATGTGTGACACTGAGATGAGGAAAGAGCCAGCTCAAGAGAGAGATCACAAGGCCGTGGGACCTGAAATGTAAAAGTTACAAGCCAGTGATTTCACCCCTGGCTTCATCATGGGAGCCCTTGCATATTAAAAATGCGTATCCTCTTTTCACAGCATCAAAAAAGCATGAAGCTGCCAAAGAAGTATTTGTGAAAATTCCTCAGGATTCCATAGCAGAAATCTATAATCAGTGGGAAGAACAAGGAATGGAAAGTCCACTTCCTGCTGAAGATGATAATGCTATCAGAGAACATTTGTGCATTAGAGCTTATTTGGTGAGATTGCAAAGAAAACCACGGTCTTCATGGTGACTTTTCTGACTCTCAGGCTTCAGACCTTTTTCAGAGGTGGTGATTGGTTCGTTTAACCTCCTTTGAGATTACAGTGCTAACTGACCCACAGGGGAAATGAAATCCTGACCTGTCTTCACTAGCATGATTTTTCCATTGATTGCTAACCACCCAAGATTAGAACAAGGTGTATGATACCTGAAACTTATGTTTTTTTTAAGATTCTATGAATGTTTACTTCAACTTTAATAATTTTGCTTTTGGCATTATCTGAGAAAAACATGATATTCTACATCTGTTAGGACTTAAGTAACAGGAAAATTTATTCACCAAATAATCCAGTGATTCCAGTAGGCTAATAACTAGGCTGGATTAGTGGATAGCATTTTATGTTTGCTACTAAATGCTAATAGATGAGGTGGGTGGCATGGATTAAATAGTAGAGTACCTTTCTAGCAAGTACAAGGCCCTGAATTCAAAACTAGTACTGCCAAAAAATAAGTAAATAAATAAATTATAAAAATAAAAGCTAATAGACATAAGATAAGATGGGTAAGCGTGCTTACTTTACAGAATGATAAATGGCAGCAAGATATTCATTATCCAGGTGCAGGAATAGGAGCATATGTCAGGAAATAGTACAGTATATGTACTTTACTGGTATTTGTCATCTCATAAAGCATTTGCATATTTAGAGAGAGAATATGTGTGTGTGTCTGTGTGTGTGTGTGTAAAATAAATATTGACTAGTTTGGGTATGTGATTACAAAATTATTTCTAAGAACAAAACCTTTTAAGAAGCTTGGTGACTGCAGTAAAAATAAAAAGTTTTGTTTATTTCATTTTTTAGGAAGCCCATGAAACCTTTAATGAGTGGTTTAAGCATATGAACTCAGCTCCACAAAAACCTACTGTGATTTCTCAACCAAGTTTTACTGAGAAAGTGGCTTTTGAACACAAAGAAAAGAAATATGAAGTAAGATTATTTTACATTAAAAATGTATACTAGTATTTACAGAGGTCATTTTTACAGATGATATACTCCATTTATAACAGCAGTCTTCCTATTAATGTTCTACTTTAAAAAAAAAGCCAACTGCCTAATTACCTCTCTGAGGATGATGCTAGCATTCATTTACAAAATTAACATTTTAGTATTTGTAATGCTGTTTACTGTAATTTTTGATATTTGACTTATTAAAGCATCTAGAATGATATTCTATGTGTATATTCTTCAGGCTTCCCTTTTTGGACCAAAAATACAAACCAATAGGGACAGGAAACTAAATTGGATGCCCTGTCCACTGCTAGAACTATAGATTAATTATCTCAAGTCTCCACTTCTTAATCCTAAAGTTCAGGATGTCTTAAATATATAATATTTATTTGTGTTCATTATTTCTGCCTTATGTTCTTTTTGCAGCTGGATTATGGTATTTGGAAAGGGCACTTGGATGCCCTAACTGCTGATGTGAAAGAGAAAATGTACAACGTCTTGTTGTTTGTTGATGGAGGGTGGATGGTAGATGTCAGAGAGGTAAACTATGTGTGACCTGCAGAACATTTTAAGTAGCCTGAGAAAAGGCTAGGCTTCTTTTCCTTTTCTTCTCCCTTTCTTCCCCTCCTTTTTTGTGTTTTGGGGCAGGGATGTGGGAATAATGAGGCTTCAACTCAGGTTTCACACTGTCTCTTAGCTTCTGCTTAAGGCTGGTGTGCTACCACTTGATCCATACCTCCACTTTCTGCTCATCACTGGTTAATTGTAGTTAAAGCTTTCACAAACTCTTTCTACTCAAGCTGGCTTTGAACTGCAATCTCAGGTCTCAGGCTCTTGAGGCTTTGTTTTATTTTTAATAAGGATGATAAGCTTTAGAAATATTCTTTAGCTTCTACCTCTTCTGGTTTTAATCCAGTATAGTAATCCCTCAGCATCCATGGGGAATTGATTCTAGGACCCTGTGGATATCAAATTTCTATATATGGTTCCACATATACTATAACCTAATAGTCTCATTCAACCTATCCACATCCTGTAGTATCCTTTAAATCTTCCAGATTACCTATAATACTTGATGAAAATGCTACATAAATAGTTGAAACATTCTTGTTTAGGGAATAATGAAAAGAGTGAAAAGTCTGCACATGTTTAGTGCAGATGCAACTTTCCTCCAACATTTTCTGTCTCTGCTAAATTAAATCAGCAGATTCAGAATGTATAGTAATTTAGGGATTACTGTTTGTAAGGGTATTTAGCTTAACATTGTTAAGATGAGTACTTGATATTTTAGGATGCTGAAGAAGACCATGAGAGAACGCATCAGATGGTTTTACTGAGGAAACTTTGTCTACCAATGATGTGTTTTCTGCTGCATACCATATTGCATAGCACTGGTCAGTATCAGGAGTGCCTGCAGTTAGCAGATATGGTGTCCTCCGAGCGTCACAAACTCTATCTGGTAAGTTCTACAGCATTTTCATTTGTATATTATCCTGATTTGGCTTACTCTGTGATAATGTTAAATTTTATGAAGATTTTTTACATTTTTTAGTTGTTCTTAAATTCTGAGGGGGGGAGATGTGTGTATGTGTGGGTGCGCGTGCGTGCGTGCCTGTGTGTGTGTGTGTGGGTGGGTGCGCGTGCGTGTGCGCGTGTGTGTGTGTGTGTTGGGAGGAAGACAGCATTGGGGTTCCTGAACCACTCAAAAACACCAGATTCGGGCTGGGAAGGTGGCTCAGTGGTAGAGCGCTTGCCTTGCATGCATGAGGCCCTGAGTTTGATTCCTCAGCACCACATAAGCAAAAAGAAAAAAGCCAGAAGTTGCGCTGTGGCTCAAGTGGTAAAGCACTAGTCTTGAGCTGAAGAACTGAGGGACAGCGCCCAGGCCCAGAGTTCAGGTTCCACGACTGGATCCAAAAATAAAAAAACAAAAACAAAAAAAACACCAGATTCTATCCACATAAATCCTGAAAAGGAATTTTTATTTATTTATTTATTTTTGCTGGGCCTTAGGCTTGGACTCTGGGGTCTAGGTGCTATCTCTGGGCTCCTTTTGCTCAAGGCTAGTGTACCACTTGAGCCACAGTGCCACTTCTGGCTTTTTCTGTGATTAATTGGAGATGAGTCTCATGGACTTTCCTTTCCTGAGCTGGCTTCAAATCACAATCCTCAGATTTCAGGCTCCTGAGTAGCTAAGATTATAGGTGTGAGCTACCAGCACCTGGTAAATTTCTTCTATTAAGCTAAGTTCATATGCTTCTTTTTCCTCATTCTTATTTTTTTTTCTCTTTTAATATCAGGTATTTTCTAAGGAAGAACTAAAGAAATTGCTTCAGAAGTTAAGGGAATCCTCTCTCATGCTTCTTGACCAGGGACTTGATCCATTAGGATATGAAATTCAATCATAATTCATCAGTTTGAATTCTCATTTCCATGAAATATGGAGGTTTGGTGTTTTTTTTTTTTAATAAAACATACATATTTGTAATTGCTAGCTTTTTTTTGTATCATAGAAAAACGTAAAATTTTAGGCATTTGAATTTTGTACTTTTCAGATAATTATGCTTATACTTTGAAATTTTAATGTATTATATCAGTATTTCCCTTTGTGTGTTTTTTAATGAAATTATTCAAAAATTAAAATTTTTCATTCTTACAAATTCTATATTTATCTACTGTATCATAATTAAATGTTTTATTCTTTTTTTTCCTATACTCATCAGTACTGATTTTTTTTTTAAACATGAATATAGCCCAGTGGCCTGTGTCTCACTCTTGTACTTCTGGACTATTCAAGGAGCTAAGATCTGAAGATAGAAGTTCAAAGCCAGCCCAGCTAGAAAGTCTGTGGAAACTCTTATCTCCAGTTAGCCACCAAAGAGCCAGGAATGGAGCAGGGGCTCAAGTGGTAGAATTATAACCTTGAGTGAAAACGCTAAGGGACAGCCCAGGCTGTGAGATCAAGTCTCAGTGCTAGTGCACACCCTCACATGTGCACACACACACACACAATAAGAATAGCTATTAGTTGAACCATGTTGAGTCAGGGATTGTCTGCATTTTCAAATATTGAAAGAGCAATTATAACAATGTAATTTATCATGTATGGTATGATTAGCTCAAATCTGTAATCACAGAGAATGAATTGAGGTAAATGAGGATAGTTCATGGACTCAGTGAGGGAGTGGTGACAGTAACCACTGTAAATCATTAGGAGTTCTGTAGTTCCAAACCAGAAGGGATGATAACACTGTGAATGTATAGTGGAAAAGACACACAGTACAGTCAAACTTGGTAGAATTTGATATTACAGGTTTAGTGATATCAATAGAACAGCATACACAAAAGAGCATTATCAGAAAGACCACCTTGAGAAAACTGGACTTTAGACATTGCTTATTTAACTTTTACTGATTTTCAAATATTAGTCTAAGAGTCATTTCACAGCCAGGTGTAATGGTACACACCTATAATCTCAGTACTCAGCAGGAGGATCATGAGTTCAAAACCACCCTGATTCCAAAAAAAAAAAAATGTCATTTCCTTAGAGAAGTTTTTGACCACCTCTCCCTTATCAAATATAGGAAAAGTTACTATACTCTCATAGGATCATATTTTACTTCAGAAAATCATTTATTATAACTCTTTAGTAGCATTCTCATTAAGTCCTATAGAAGGTCTGGTCTGGTTACCGGCCAAGTGCCAAGGTGCTCAATAAATACTGAATAATTCCTCTGTGCCTGTGCGCGTCTATTTAGATTCTTGAGCTCAGTGCCTGGGTGCTGTCCCTGAGCCTTTTTGCTCAGTTAGCTCTCTACCACTTGAGCCATAGTTCCACTTTCCCCTTTTCATTGGCGATAAAACCCTCATGGATATTCCTGCCCAGGCTGGCTTGGAACTGCGATCCTCAGATCTCAGCCCTCTGAGTAGCTAAGATTACAGGCTTGAGCCACAAGCAGCAGGCAGAAACATTTGTTAATGTTTAACATTATGCTTTGCAGTAAGAACTGCATTCCCCCACCCCCGCCTAGCGAGAAGTAAGCGTGCTCAGAATCTGTCTCACTTGGTAAAACTGGCTAACATCAGCACGCAAGCTTTCCCTCCACCCCCACCTTAGATGAAAAGAAGCGGGGGAGGACCCACAGGCCTCTTCCATCCCAGACCCCTTCGGGACCTGGAGGGTGGAAGCGCTGAGCACACTCATCACCTTCACCTGTCCGCTTCCCGAGCCCTGTGCGCCTGCGCAGGGAAGCGACTGCGCCCAGCGGAAGTGAGGTCGCTGGAGTCACGTGGCCCAGGGCGGAGGCGGGGCAGCGCTACCGCGTACACGCTGAGTCAAAGGGCAGCCGCCCAGCCCCGGCCCTGGAGCGTGTGCGGCCTGCGGCGCGCCTCCTTCCTGACTGGTGCATGCCTCTCCCTGGCGGGACCGCGAGGCTGTGGGGGGGAAGCGCAGCCGCAGACCGGCTGGACCCCTCTCCCGGAGGCTGGACGGCCCCGGCCTCACGGAGGACGCTGCTCAACCAGCGGCGGGCTTCATGGCATCCTTGGCCGACCGAGTGCGGAGCCATGGGCGAATCGCCGCCGGGCTCCTGTTTAACCTGCTGGTGTCCATCTGCATCGTGTTCCTCAACAAATGGATCTACGTTCACTACGCGTTCCCCAACATGAGCCTGACCCTGGTGCACTTCGTCGTCACCTGGCTGGGCTTGTACATCTGCCAGAAGCTGAACATCTTCGCCCCCAAGAGCCTGCCGCCCTCCAAGCTCCTCCTCCTGGCCCTCAGCTTCTGTGGGTTTGTGGTCTTCACCAACCTTTCCCTGCAGAACAATACTATAGGTACCTATCAGCTGGCCAAGGCCATGACCACGCCGGTGATCATAGCCATCCAGACCTTCTGCTACCAGAAGAGCTTCTCCACCAGAATACAGCTCACGATGGTGAGTAGTTGGGGGGGGGGGGACATGTGCATCACTGCACCCACCTTTCCAGCAACTTCCTCCCCTGGAACTTTGTTTAGCCTTGCAACACGTTCTTGCCCATCATTTTGAATCCACATGCATAAGCATGTGAACTTCAGACTTATAGTTGGGGGTGCTTGTGGCTCCTTTTGGTACCCTGTTGGTTTCTTGGCCCAAAACGGGCATGCATGTACGGGTTTTAGCAACCACCTGTACTGGAAAGGGAAGAAAGCTGTATTAGGTGGTGCAACCCAACGTATCATACCTGCACAAGCCCAAACTGAAAATCAGTCCTCCTCCCTTGTGAAATCAAACTATGATAAACAACAACAAAAAAAAAGCCTAGCATAAAATGTCTCAGAATAGGTCTGCGGTAACATACTGCAGAAATGACAGCATCCTGGGGGAAAAAGACATTTCCTAAGATGATTTTTGGCATTTAGTAACTTAGAATGCTTAAATCTTAAATACTTTTGTTTTTGCTTATAACTTGTTTAGACAGTTTAGACTATCCACTTATCTACCTGTCCATACATGTATTTTTCTTGTAACGTACAATGCACTCACTATTTTACCTCGAATTTAAAGTAGAATTATATGTGAATGTCATTATGCAACTATCATATTTCACATTCAGGAAACAGAATTAACATTTGTACAGTTAACAGTTCCATATTTATGATTAGTTTTTTAAGACATCTTGAAAGGAATTGCAAAATTTGTTTCTTGAATTTAATCTGAACAGCATTTACCTCTTTTTCTTTACAGATTCCTATAACTTTAGGTGTAATCCTAAATTCTTATTACGATGTGAAGTTTAATTTCCTTGGAATGGTGTTTGCTGCTCTTGGTGTTTTAGTTACATCTCTTTATCAAGTGGTTGGTAATTTTTTTTTTCTTTATGTGCCTTTTTAGCAGATTTCATAGATTTTGAAGCTGTATCCCAAGGTTTAGAAAATACAGTATAGAGACAATAGACTGTTGGGAAGAAAGCATAATTGCATAAATTGTCTGACTCCAGGTGAAGAGAAGAAAGGAGACAGAGAAACTTGGGTGTAGGATGCTCACCAAACACCTACCTGTTTGTAAGTGCTTAATACCCATGCTTAACAGTCTGAGTTTGGGGCAAAGTTCAGTTCTTTTTTGGGAAATCTTTATAAAATAAGTAGTAAGACTTTTACTTTTTACTAAGTTCATTGGTTATATAAATATACATATGTTTGCTTTTTAATTATAAAGTTGCTGCAAAGCATCTTTATAATTAGAGTATTTATAGAGTATTTTATAGCAGTGGGTTTTTTGCTTCCTGTGCAAGCAAGGCGCTTTGCCCATAGGCATTATTCATTTAAAATTTGTTCATGGACTCCCTTATTTCATTACCATAAATCCCAACAAGTATGGTTTTTGTTTCTTGTACAGTGAGGAAAAATAACTTGGTGCAAGGAACAGTGAAACAGTATTCTCTCTATACTGAAAACCTTGGTCTGGAAATTTTGGGTGTGCCTGCATGGGGAATCAGCCAAAAAGTGTGACCAGTTTTCCTTACTTCACCAACGTCTACTGGTGATAAATGAAGGCATTCTTGCTAGGAATGTTCATTTAGTAATACAGTCCTGGCAATCTAAACTCTTTGGTAACGAACATATTAGAAAATGAAAAACACTACAGTCATGAATGCTTTTTTAAAATGTTTTAGGGCTTTGTTTTTGTTTTTGAATTATTTTTTTCAGTACTAAAGTTGAACCCCAGAGTCTCCCTGCATCGTAGGCAATTGCTCAAACAGTGAGCTATTCCCGAACCCTTTTCCTTTTATTTTGAGAGAGGGTTTTACTAAGTTGGCCAGAGTGGCTTTGGATTTCTAAACCTCCTGTCTCAACCTTCTAAGTAGCTGGGATTTCAGAAACATATTACTACACTCAGCTTATTTATTAGAATTTCTTTTTTGTGTACTTTCTTTTTTGGTGGTGCTGAGATTGGACTGAGGCCACCACTTTTGTGCCTAAAGAGAGATTTCACGGTACCTAATGAACCTCCAATAGGAAGGATGGGGAGTATGTACTCTGCCCATCCATTTTGGCGCACTGCTTTGTCCCCATGAGCAAGTGGTAGAAAAATAAATTCTTTGCCCTTTGTATTCATAGAAGACTCTATAGCTGCTGGCAGGAGTATGGCTCAAATTTCCTGCTCTTCTATTTTTATCTTGTGAATTTCTGTACTCATAGTTTACATAACAAACAGGACAAGGAGAGCTATAGGAAAAAGATACATAGAAGGCATTCAGTAGCTAAGCTATGCTTGCCTGATGTTACTCACTGAGCATTTTTAAAAATATTTTTATTATCTTTAAGTAGTTGTACAAAGGAGTTGCCATTCACCAAAGCAGTTTATATCACTGAACATTCTTCAGAGTCTTCTTCTCAGACATAGTTGTAAAACACTTTGAGGGCTGATGGTTTCTGAGGTGTTGCTCCTATATATAGGTATATTGGTGGGAAGATAGGGAATACCATCCTCGAAAAAGTCATCCACAGACAGGCAGATTTACCCTTGACTTGGTGACTAAAATGACCACACACCTTTTAAGCCACACACACAGACAGGTACCTCGGATAACCAAGGTTCCAGGTAATCAGTTTGTCAATATCTAGCCTCACCCTGCCCCTTGGTCTTTTTTGTTTTTTTTTATTTTTTTGGTATGTGTTTCTAGTTTGAACTCAGGGCCTCCTGCTTGCTAAGCAGATACTGTAAACATTTAAGCTAAGCCCTCAATCCATTTTTTGCTTTGACACTTTTAGAAAGAAAAGGGATGAGGCACTACATATTTCTATGCCAGTTATTCCCTCAATTTTCTATCTCTGTCTCTTTCATGCACGTAAGCCCCTATACATGTTACTTGAAAAGAAAAATAGATGATCAGGTATTGAATTTATGGAGTAACTTTAATCTAGAGTGTTTAAAGGCCCTTTTTATGGATTATAGACTCTTTGAAATGTTGAAGCATAAGTAGGCTTTTCCTCTCCTCCAGCCTGCACCCCATAGTTCCACCCATCCCTGTGACTACAGTTAACTCTTTTGTCCCTGACTTGCTTTATCTCCTGATTTTTAGTGGGTAGGTGCCAAACAGCATGAATTGCAAGTCAACTCCATGCAGCTGCTGTATTATCAGGCCCCAATGTCATCTGCCATGTTGCTCATTGCTGTGCCCTTCTTTGAGCCAGTGTTTGGAGAGGGAGGAATTTTTGGCCCGTGGTCAGTTTCTGCTTTGGTAAGTTCTAATTCTTTTGGTATCTAAGAAACAGTATAATTATAAACCCGCCATTATTTATGAAATGTTTAGTTTTCAGAGCACTATCTCAGATCCCATACTATGTCCAGTCTTCATAATCACACTTGGCAAGGTAAGGATGATTTTTTAGATAAAAACTGAAGCACAGAAAGGTGGAGGGATTTGCCTAGAATTGGACAACTAGCCAGTGATATAACCAGGACTGAAGTTCAGATTCCATGCCTGGTTTCTGGTTTGTCTATCCTAAACTATAGTCTACAGATGATTTGGACATTTTATCTTAATCTTATTTTACTTTCTTTTATTATATATTAACTATGCAAAGGGGTTTCACTGTGATTTTTTTTCTTTACTACAATGAAAGTATTACTATACGTTTTGTTTTAAAATAAAATAGGACATGTTTGTTGCATATATTGTGGAAAATTCATTAAAAAACACTGAAAGTGAAGGTCTTCTGGAATCCCAGACATGTGTTGTGATTTTTCTATTAGAAATACATACATACGTCATGTGTCATTTTTATCCTGAATTTTTGCCCCATCCTTTTTACTGAAACAGACATTAGCTTCTCATTACCCCTACTTATGCCCTTTAAATAATTTAGGTGTACATTCTAGCTTTTGCTTTTTCATAGTTGTCTTTTTGTCACATATACCCACCTAACCATACACATCCATAAATTAAATGTTTAGGTTTTGATAAAAGTGGCATCCTATTAACATTTTTTTTTCTTTTATTAAATCCAGGGCCTCACTTGTGTTAAGCAGGAGCTGTATAACTGAGGTATAGCCTTAGCCCTACATGTGTTTCTCTATCTAGCTTTTTTCGCCTAAATTCAAATATTCTTTTCAGACCATTCTTGACAGACCATTTTCCATATTCAGTGTTCTTCCTGTTGGCTACCACTATGAGCAAGGTTAGGGCAGACAAGATTGTATATGTGCCCTTAACCGAGAGTGTTGAGACTAGAATTGATAGATCAAAATGGATGTTCTATGAGTACTTGAACTTAAAAAGTTTAATACCTTTTGCTTGGTCAGTTAAGTCTGCTTTTACAAAACTACCAGGGGCTGGGTGAATTAAATTTTGGTTTAATTCACTGGAGGCTGAATACAGGAGGCTGGTAGTCTGTGATCATGATGCCAGCAAGGTAGTGTTCTTGATGAGAGCCTGCTTCTGTCCACCTATGGCAGGGCCTCATGCATACAAGGCAAGCACTCTACCACTGAGCCACCTTTCCGGTTCCCTATCTTCTCCTTTCTTACCATGAATTTCTTCTTCCCATAACTTGAGTCTTTGGAACATAGTTAATGAGAGCATCTTTTTTAGTTGATGGTGTTTATTTATCAAGCATTTATGTAACCCTAATTTTTTTTCAGGAACTATTTAAAGTACTTTGCAACTATTAATTCCTCCTAACTTTATTAGGTTATTATTACTATTGTTCCCATTTTTTACTAATGAGAAAACTGAGCAAAGAAGAGGTAACTAACTAGCTTGCAATACACAGCAAATACACAGTCAGATTTTGACAGGCGGGGATACTAACCACTATACTAACGAGGAGCTGTTGCAGTCAGATTTTGAATCCATGCATTCTAGCTCCAAAGTCTGTGTCTCTGTTGTTTTTTTTTTTTCTAGTGCTGGGAATTCAAGACTTTATGTATTCTAGACAAGTTCTCTGCCACCAACTAAACTCCTAGCATCCCCTCCACCATCACTCTTTCTTGAGAGGTCTCTAGGCTAGCCTTATAAACTTCTAGACCCAAGTGATCCTCCCACTATAGGTACTATAGTGGAACAATAGGTACACACCACCATCCTCCACAAAATACGCATTTTTTTTCTTTTTCTTTTCTTTTCTTTTAATATTGGGATTAAACCTAGGACCTTACACTGTTAGGAATGCATTCTCCCACTGAGCTGCACCCTTATTTCCCAGCATTCTTTTTTTT